AAATTTAATTATGAGAAAGAGTATCCTATAAGAGACCTAACTATGACAATACCTAATATATCTAAAAAATCAATACCTAATATATATAGAGATATATACCATATATACATTAACACAAACAAACAAAGAATAGATGTGATGTAGAAATTTCCTGATTTTTCAATGTGAAATTTAATAGAGAAAAATAGATGCAAACGAATTAACCAACGGTATCTATCTATCCCCAGTACTCAATTGATGAACAACATCAATTATGCAAAAAAAATTATCATGCTACACGCTTTATAACATGAAAGCTTATGTGCAATTGGCAAGACCAAAGGAGCATTGTGAGTTGATCAAAGGACCATGGTCTTGCCAAGAAAAGAATAATAAATGAATCACGGCGATTATGATAAAACAAATGACAAGGAACTGGGGGACAGGATTAAAAAATGAATCCATTTAAAGGGTGATAAAAACAAACTACAACACTATAAGAGAATGTATGGTTGGCTCATGATCGGTAAGTTGGAATAAATATGAGTAATTGGGCATCAATGTATGAAGATAAAGTTGTAACCAAAACTAGTTTTTTTTTTTTTTTTTTTTTTTAGGATTTGATCTTGGAGAAAACACATTGATGTGAGGGAGTTCCAAGGGTCAAAGCCACAACCAACGAATAATTACTGAAAGATGCAAGTGTGTTTGGTTTATGTTTACGTTTTCTTCATTTTTATTTTTTGTATTTTCAGAAACAAAAATAATGAAGAGTTTGAATAAAATGGTTTATTCATTTCATTTTGCTTTTGGTGTGAAAACAGTTTCCATAAATTCAAGGACTTTTTGGTGAAATTCAAGGTTGATGAATGGAAATATGCGGACTACATGAATCACATCTTCACAATTCACTACTACCTAATTTTTTCTTTTCTTTTCTCTCTTAATTTGCCATCCCACGTGTTCCATCCAATTGTAGCATTGTGCCATGTCATTGTGGGGAAGCATTTTGTCCTGTTTGGCTGGTGGAAAAGAAGGAGAGAAAAGAAAAGAAAAGAAAATTAATCGAAAAAAGGCTCGAGTTGTCGTGTTTCCCTTTCGGAGTAATTGCAGTTTAAAAACTATGAACTTCAATTGTGGGGGCATTCCGAGAATCGAACTCGGGACCTCTCGCACCCAAAGCGAGAATCATACCACTAGACCAAATGCCCTTCTGTTACTTAACATTTACAATTATAATATTTAAATTATTCATAGTATATGATAGTTAATGATGGGTTTGGGGCATCTTTTCTGGTTTAGGGGGACCAATTTTCAGGGGATGGTGGGGGGAGGAAAGCTGTCAGCTAGGGCTACTACAAATTCCTTTCATCATTATTGTATAAAGCCCCACAGCTCATCTCATCATGTGCCTGGCTACTGTAAGCAATGCTTGCTTTTTGTATATATGGAATTAAAGCAATAAGCTATAACACTTTTGATCCCTTCCATTTTCAATTATGTTTGGATCTTCAATTCATAAATAATTAAAGATAAATAAATAACTTCTACTTTTTTTATTTTTTTTCATGTCTTTTCAATTTTAAGAATCTCTCTTCTTGGTAATGAGTAGAAGTTCTCCGCGATATTATATCGAGTGCGGTGTAAATTGAGAAGATAGAAGAGTAACTAATTTTGTAACTTTAGTTTTAACAATACTAATAAAATGAGAGATAATTTTGTATATTACAAAAAATAATTTATAACAAAAATTGAAAATGAGACATAAACAAGTGAAAATGAATGTTATGTGTAATATTTTACTGTTTTGGTATTATTATATTTAAGAAAAATAAATTATATACATGTAGATACTTAAACAAATATAATTGGAGTGAAGCAAAGAAAAATTCGTTTCCTATTAAAAGAAAAAATATATACTCTGATATATATGCATGACACGATGACTTACTAATTATTATGCTTAATGTGGAAGGCTAAAATATTCTCCACAAGGAAAGTGAGATGAGCTGTTCCTTCTTATACTCTGCAAGAAGACACTAAGCCGTTAGTGATCACTCCCAATTAGATTAGGTGGGGAGGACCCTCCAACGGTCAAGTCAAAACAGTGTGTGGACATATTATATTGAAAAGAAAGATTGAACTATATTGTTTTTTTTTCGCTTCCCTATTGCTATCTCTGGTTCTTCCTTTTATAGTGCTAATACCTTATATTTTGGCCGTTGGATGACCATCTTGATCCAATGGTCTTGCATGCCATCAAACCTTGGTCGGGCAAGTGGTCAAGTTGCCTTAATTTCTCATCATCAGATTTTTTATTGTGGGTGGCTTAGATTAGTTCGGACATTTTATGCCCAATTTGCTAATACTTCGACCGTTGGATCTTGGTCATGTCATTTGAATGTTCTGATCCCAAATCCTTATCTCTGACAGTCTTGATCTCCATCGTTGATTATACATGGATCCAAGGGCACTCCTTTACCTTGTAGATCTCCCTTTAAGAGGCGATTTTATTTTGACTTTGGTCACGTGACGCTGTCTTTTTATCCGATGGACATTATTGGGCTTCTTTTTCGCTTTGGACTTCTTTGACTGGACTAAATGTTTTGGGCCAATCATTCTTGTCCTTGGGCTTTTGAGGTTAATGCTTTTATTTTTATCCCTCTACACTTACCAATGAAGATGATATCTTCTTTCAATTTTTAATAATCAATCTTTTTAAATTTATTTGAGTTATTTTTGTATTATAAGTTGCAAATAAAAATTACATTAAACATTCTAACACATTTTAAAAAAAAAAAAAATCTTTTGAAAAAAACTACATCAAATGGAATGAGAAGAACAGGGGATTTGTTTAAAAAAGAAAGCATGCCAGCTAAGTATTGATTGATCAAGTTCTGGCACCTCAGACTTTTGGATAGAAAAATGTCCATCCTCTTTTGGGCAAGGCTGGATTATTGATTGTTTATATTAAGTAATTAAAGAACATAAAAAACATAATAAATATATTTAATAAAAAAATATATTCCTATGATATTCCGAAACTATTATTCTTTTCGTCTCAAAATATTAGTCTCTTATTCAATTTTTCATTATCCCAAAATACTAGTCCATTTTCAAAAATTAAGGACAAAAATAATATGAATTTTTTATTTTGCCCTTCTTTTAAATTCATTAACACAAAAAGTACAATTATGATAATTGATATTTTTCAAAAAATGTACTATCAAAAGATAATTTTGAAAAATTAATTTTTTTAAAGTATAATAATTGTACTATCAAAAAAGTTAAATTTTTCAAAAAAACCTATTATTTTGAGACGGTGGAAATATTTATTTTGATGGTTCAACTATCATTATATGCTGTCGTTTCTTTATTTGTACAATTTTTTTTGTTACGTGAAATGTCATTTTCTTATGATCACACTATTCTGGTTAACATGGGTGGGATTATTATTTAAAAAGTTCCATGTATATCTCTAATTTCATGGTTTATCAATGTCGGCATTGGGTTGCATTAATCTAATATTAGCAAGACATCATTCATATATATATATATATATATATATATTTAGAAATTAATGTGAGAATGATGTAGAAATAATATAAATAAGTCAAAAAATTAATTATTTAAAAATTGAAAAAATATTTTATTTTTAATTTTAATTGTCAACATCCAATTTGAAAAAACCCTACACCAAACAGACAACTTTGCTCATGATGATTGAATACGCATAGCCATTTGCCTGTTTATTTACTTTGTTTGGTATAGATATATAGATCAAATAAATACTTTAATGTCTTAGATATGAATTTGCCATGTTCTGGTGTGCATTTTATGTTTGGTAGGTAGGAAAATGTGATTGATACTGCTTTTTTGAAATTCGAATTTAAAATCTGTCATGTATAATGGTCCCCCACTCACTCTCTCAATTAACTTTAAAAATAAAATTCAAAAAAAAAAAAAAAAAAAAAAAAAAATGGCCTCTTGTAAATGATCTCAGGTAACAGAAGATAAGAGGAGAGATATTTATGGTGATTTGATTCCTGTTGTATTTTTTCACTTGAATTGTTGTTATCATATTATTCAAGGTCTAATTTTAAATTATATTTCAATACTACATTTACTAGTAAAAAATATTATAAATTTTAGAATAAATTACATTTTACACCCTTTATATTTAATCACTTTCTCACTTTGACCCTTATGCTGTGTTTGGTTGGGAGATTTGGGGAGGGATTTGGAAAGGGAAATGGAAAAGGTAGGTGAAATGTGAATAAATCATGCTTATATTTCACATAGTTTCACACACCTTTTCCCTTTCCTTTTCCAAATCCCTCCCTAAATCCCCCAACCAAACACAGCATTAAAGTTTATTTTTGAAAAATTCTTGATAGTTCAAATTTGTGTGGCTTGAATTGCTCGAATGTATCAAAACGACATCGACAGGATCATGAAAATTCAGGCTACCAAGCATTGTTGTTTATTTTTTTCTTACTTTGACTTTTTATGTTTCAAGTTTTTCTCAATTTACTATTAAAGTTAATTTTTGTTCAAAATTAGACAGAAAATACCATAATAACTATCATATAACATGAAAAAATATTATTATATTAGAGTTTAAGTTTATATTACAGATGTGAATTATATACAATAAAATATTTTTATCTCACGTGATTGTTAATTTGTCATTTTCTATCTAATTTTTAACATAAATTAACATTATGAGTAAATTGGAAAAAAAACTTGAAATATGAAGGGTCAAAGTGAGAAAAAAAAATAATAATTTAAATGTCAAAATAAAAAAGTAACTAAATATAAAAGGGGCAAAATATAATTTATCCTAAATTTTGTAACATTTTCTTTAATATTATTTAGCTATCATTGTGAAAGTCAGATTCCACCAAACTGGGCTCTTATGTAAGCAGCAAGTTACTATGATGAGTTTGTAAGGAATAATTATGAGCTCATATATAATATCATATTCTTTGGTAAAATGTTAGTCAGACTAGTATTTTAACAGTTGAGAAAACAAGAAAAGAAAAGAAAAAGAAAATAATCAAATCTGGGAAAGGTAGTCAGGCGATTCATATTAGGACAAAACGATTTATCAAAAAGACGCAACTCTGCTTTTGGTCTGCAACCCACCTCCACATTATCTCCTCCCCCTCTGTATTTCTCTCTCCCATTGGAATTCTTTGCTCACAAGAGAAAGAACTGAAGAGCCACAGAGAGAGAGAGACAGAGAGCGAGCTAAAAAGTACACACTTGCTTTGTAGTGTGAGAATTGGAAAGCAAAGCATGGCATTTGCAGGAACAACCCAGAAATGCATGGCTTGTGACAAGACTGTCTACCTTGTCGACAAGCTCACCGCCGACAACCGTATCTACCACAAAGCCTGTTTCCGATGCCATCACTGCAAAGGAACACTCAAGGTACATACCTTATATATAGATCATCTTAATTTTGTTTGTTCTTTGTTTCCTGTATAACGTTTGCTCTGTGATCTTTGAAACCCAAGGGATTGTTTTTTACAACTTGAGTATTGCATACTTCACTAGATTCAGATCTGAAGATGAATCAACCACTCTAGTTTTGGATTGACCTGAAACTTGTGAGATGACCCTCCAAGAACTTGACTCCCTTTTTAGGTCCATGACCTTAAAAAGTCTATATTTCACCAGCTTACCAATTGAGTGTTCATTCGATCCACCACCCGAGGCTAGGCTGATCAAACCGATCATTGGGTTCGATCTAGCAAGTGATTCCCTCCCTGAAAACGGGGATGGTCGTTAGGTTGTGAATTGAATGCGAGGGAGAGAGAAAGAAGCAGTTGGTGGGGGACTGAAATAGGTTTGATTCAAACGACCAGGTACAACACCGCATTTGACACATGAGGATGGTACAACGCAACTATGAATTCATCATTCTAGCTAGAGCTAAAAAAAAACTCTTGCATAGAGTCAGAATTTCACACCTATTATATGCAATTTTAGTGAGAGAGATGCTTTTTATTTTGCAGCTTGGCAATTACAATTCCTTCGAGGGAGTTCTGTACTGCAGACCACACTTTGATCAGCTCTTCAAAAGGACTGGTAGTCTCGACAAAAGTTTCGAAGGTAAAAAAAAATAAAAATGGTTTAGGTCTTTCTGATACCCTAATGTTGTATTTGGTTAAGGGATTTGGAAAGGGATTTAGAAAAGAAAAGGAAAAGGAGGGTGAAATTAAGTGAAATGTAATGTAAATTTTCACCCACCTTTTTTCTTTCTTTTTCCAAATCTTTTTTCAAATCTCTCAACCAAACACAACATTAATGCTCATTTGTAGGTAGTCTAGATCAACCTAATTTCTTTCCTTCTGCAACTTCCAGGGACACCAAAAATTGTGAAACCAGAGAAACCCATTGACAGTGAGGTACGTCCTGAAATCTATCAAGTACTTGCCGGTATAATAATTATCATGCTGGAGTTTCTATATATAACATGAGTTTCTATATATAACATGCCACTAATCTTTATTGAGACATTTTAACAGAAACCTTTGGCGAATAAAGTCTCAAGCAAGTTTGGGGGAACCAGAGAAAAATGTGTGGGTTGTAAGAACACCGTCTATCCAACTGAAAGGGTAAACACCATTAACTTTTGCTACAATTCTATGCCGTACCTATTACATTGAACATCAAAAGCTAGGTTTTATGGTGAGGCGTCCCCACGCTTCACACCCACCCTCGCACACACGGTGCTCACTCTATATCACTGGCCATGTGCAGGCCATAACACACCCTACTCATCCTTGGGCAACAAACATATGTTGAAATATACATAACTAACAATACGTGATTCAATGCAAGGTTACGGTGAATGGAACTGCGTACCACAAGAGTTGTTTCAAATGCACCCATGGCGGATGTGTAATCAGCCCATCCAACTACATAGCACATGAGGGCCGTCTTTACTGCAAGCACCACCACATCCAACTGATAAAGGAGAAGGGTAACTTAAGCCAGCTCGAAGGCGACCATGAGAAGGAACCTGTAAACGAGAAACTCAAAGCCAGAGAAGTCGCTGCAGAGTCATGATCTGCCAAAGAAATCGTTCTGGTCGTTTCACTCGCTTCAGTCTGTGTTGATTCAGTACGTTTTACGATGGTCTACCGATGGAGATTTTAATGCTTCCAGTTTTTGAGTGCGATTGTTTGTTGTTTTGGGTGATATCGCAAGGTTGTGGATGCTTAAGTGGGAAGACAAGGCTTAACTATTCTTATAATCATATGACAAGTTATCTGCTGGTATCATTTGTGATTTATCATTGCCCTCTAATCGATTTTGAATAAATGTGTATGTATGATTCCTTTTTCTTTTCTTTTCTTTTTAATTTTTACTGTCTCTAGCAAAATTGAAGATTTTGAAGCATAAACAAAATTGTAGCATGTTACCATTTTAGCTGCTTTCAGTGGCATTTTCCCAATGGCATCATCCCCAGATCCACTTCAAACTTCTTGAAACTCCAGATGGCCTTGATCTTGCACAGAAACAGTATGGAGGAACAATAGTGAAGGACTTTAGTGTTAGAAAAACAAAAGCAAAAGCACAGAAAGGGAAGAAAACATAACAACGCCTAATTAGTACACATTAATGTGTGTTTGAGAGGGAAAAGATTAGGTACACACTTAACATTTGACGTAGTGCACAAAGTGGTTGTCCTTGACTTGAACGCATAACCTCAAGGTTGTTAAGCCAAGGTTTTATTATTGAACCAATGGTTACCCCTAAAAGGAAAAAACATGCTGAAGGAAATTTAAAATGGCTGCAGAGCATAGTAAAATGTATTTCAAATTGAGGCATCAACCACTACGCAAACCAATTTATTGCAGAGACGTTGCACGTGCAGTGTGGGCAGAACCTGAGATGGTGGCCTGCAAACAAAATAGACTGTAAAATAATAAATGCTCCAAAATTTGAAATGAATTGTGCTGATAAGTAAGCTCTACCCAAGTAAAAGCTAAAAGAATGTCAAGTAACGACGGCCACAGAGCCTGGGTGCAGATTTCAGCCATGAAACAGCAGAAATATGAACACCGACATAAAATATAACCAGCAACTCACTCAAATTCATAGTCAACGTTAACGAAAACAAAAAAATAATCATAAAAACACAGCTAGGATAGTTGAATCGTGGGCTGTAAGTAGTTATGAAGCCACCATCAGAATTCTTGAATTGTATAATCGGGGTATATGCAAATCGTGGCATCAAATGAAATTCAATGTTGTTTGCCAGTTTGAAATTATGAAATCTAACAAAGAAAAAGAATCTACTGAAAATTGGAGGAAGTTTAGTGAGCTAGAAGTTCAACTCAAAGATGTAAAAGAGGCCATTACAATCAGAAAAGCTTACAAAAGATGGCAACTGAACATAGTTTTGAATAAAAAAGCAGTTAAAAGAACTGAGCAATAGAGAGACAAGAATTCTCACACAATTTAGTGTTTTTGTGAACTACTTTCTCCGTCACATAAATCGTAGGTACATTTGAAAAACTCAGACTAGACAAATAAATATTATGAAAAAAAAGAAGCAAATATGAAAGGACATTTATATTAACTAAAAGAATCGATATTATTAGTTTGATGGTAATTATGTTACACAGCCACAGTAAATGAATGGCATCTAGCTACAAGAAGTTCTGTACATAATAATCCTAAGCAAGGATATCAAACACTACAAGTTTTCATTGTATCAAGAATACAACCATCTTGTGCAATATGCTTGAGATCGATAATGTAATTGTTCCGAAGAAACCCAAATCCAAATGTTCCATTCTTATACTGCCATATTCTTCCCTCCACACGCTGAGGATTCGCAGAAGCTCCTGCCAGGTCTGGAATTACCAGATCATAACTTGAATTAATGTAAAGAATGCGTGAGACCACTTCATTTTCTATCCAAGGTGGTTGCCCTTGAATGGAAAGAGCTGCTGCAACTGGCCGAAGATGTATGTGACTATCATATAAATATTCTTCTTCAGATGAAAATGGAGGCTCAATGAATGTTGTGTTTGGTGTCCAAAAGACTGGGGAATAGTTGGAGAAAGGCTGAAACGAGTCTCCAACCCTTCGGCATGCAATGCCTCCAATGTCATCATATGCCACGAGATAAAAATCCAAGTTCATGTCATCACAAATACCCTGCATCGAGAAGCAGTAAAGAGCATCAAAATGAGCAGTTAAGGGAAAGTCCATTCCCATCACCATCTTTCAACACCCATATCAGGGTACCCTAACAAAGAAGCAAATTAAAATTGTCCACAGTGCTACTAGAAGCCAGTAAAAGATTATGTATTTTTCACTAGCAAAATATGTTTCTCAGCAAGCAATATGTGTCTCAAATAACCCATTGAAGAAATCACCTCACCTGAGCATATTAAATTTTAGACACAACATTCAAGGTGGAAACTTTTTACCATTCATATGCCCAATAAAACATAAGCGCTCAGCAATTTAATCTAAGTTCTGACGGATAGGCAAAGTCAGAGTAAATCCAATTTCAATCATCACCAATGTACAATCGCGATGATTTTGCAAATACACTCCTCATATTTGAAAGTCTTGCCAATGTCTGCATTTGGTAAAAATTATTATTTATTTATTTATTTTGATAAATAAGCAAGCGACCTTTATTAAAAAAACATCAAGATGATGCAAAGAAATACAAAACCCCAACAAGAGGAATCACTCTCTAACCAATAACCTCATCCAAGAACTCTAAAAAACCAAACATATCCGGATCAATTTTCAATTCTAACCAACTATACAAAACAACAAGTAAACGACTCTCAAGCCAACTAACTGTGTGCTGAATGTCCTGAAACGTGCGTCTATTCCGTTCTCAAAATTATTGTTTCAGCAACATCCACATCACTAATCATATTTTTGCATGCCTACTAAAATTGGGATAACTCACTCGACACCTAATTGCACATGTACAACATTAAAATGTAAAGGGATCTCGAGTAACACCAAATCCAAGCACCTAATGTATCACTAAACTATTAATGTTACCCTGCTCGCATTCTATAGGCACTCTGTAAAATCAACAGGAACACTTTGACAAACTCGAATTAAATATAAGTTCAGCACCTACAAAAACAAGATTAAACTCTCAAATCCAGTAAATGCAGGCAATAATGTTTTGTTTTGTGACTACTCCAGATTGAACTTGCAAAATGTGAGAAAACAACCTTGAAAAGAACACAGCTTCGTAGTAAACATTTCTACTGAAAAATGAAAGTACATTACAAAACGTAATACACATATTTCTAACAAAATGTACCAACAAAAAGAGAGCAGAAACACCACCTTCCATAAACCTTGTAAAGGTTTCGATGGCGATGGCGAGCAATTAACAATCTTCACGAAATGCTCTGGCTCCCACTTCCTCCTCCCCTGCCTCTCCTTCTCTCTCCTCCTCTGCCTCCTCAACGCCCTCTCCCCAACTGGACTTGTCCTGTTTGCAAAGTACTGATAAATCTCCGATGTGAACCGGTCCGGTAAGCTCCCTGAGGACCCACTCTCCACAACCCCATAATCCTCTCCCTTCAAATTCCCCAAACTCGAATTCCTCCTAAACCCAATTTTCCTTCCCTCCGGCGAATTCAAATTCGAATACACAAAGCTCAGATTTTCCTCAACAACCATATAAATCTTCCCCATAAAACTAACATTAACTGGTACTAATTCGTTCTCTAGCAAACCCAATTCAGCTGATTTAACAAAATCACTAGATAATTCGAATTTACACTCGGGATCGAGAAAACTCACAGGTGAACCACTGGGCATGATACTTAGCCACAAAAATGGAGCCTTTAAGACCCTATAGGTGCCGGTTTTCGACGGCGAAACCCTAGAGCCGTTGACGAACGAGGGGCCCCATTCGAAGAACACGAGAGGCGGAGGACGGCTGAATCCGGCGTTGTTGTCGTGGCCGCTCCGCCGCCAGAATCCGATCAGGTCTTCGTACTCGATTAGGGTTTTGTAGAGCTGTTTGAAGGTGACTTTGCCGTTGCCCCATTTCTTGATCTGGGTTTTGGATCCCCAACGGCGATCGCAGAGAGAGAACCAGAGCTTGTTGTCGCTCCGGCAGAGAGAGACGAAACGCTTCGAAGTGCAGGCGAAAGTGGCGATCTCGGAGGGAGTGAGGAATGACAGGATACAGAGCTGAACGTCTTCTGGGAAATCGGAGAACGAAATTGAATTGGTTTTGAGATTTGAGTCATTGAGATTCGTCATGGAATTGAATTCTTATTCTTTGTTGTCTGAGATTAAAGAGGAATGGAATCTTGGTTTACTTGGATAAATTCTAGGGCTCAGACACGAGAGAGGTGGAGAGAGAAGGGGAAGATGGTGTTTGTTTGGGAGCTGGGAAGATTCTTAGAAGGGTGCCAAGATTCTTAAAATTTGGTGGCGATTTTGCTTGGAGCAATGGTAGATTACAGAACATCCAGAAAATTACAAAACTCAATTAGGGTTGATTGGGCAGTGGTTGGTTTTGTGACTTTTTGATTTTTTTTTGATTATTTTAATTTGGGCTAGAAAGTTTGATTTGAGAATGATTTTTTGATTTTTTTAATTTTTTTTTGAGATAATAGCGTGATGATTATGAATTGAATGTAATGTTTTATTTTTTGTAATTAAAATAGTCTATTTTATTTTTTGTACTTAAAATAGCCAAAAAAAACCTACTCCCAATCTTTCCAAACGGAGCCTAACTTGTCAAAATGGGGTTCACCTTTGGATTGTCAGAGGAGTTTACAAGATCAAACTGTAAATGAAAATTTATAAAATTATTTAATTTAAATAAATATTTTTTAAAAGTTATAAGCAAATTATAAAAATAATTTATAAAGTGGATGAGTTTAATACTAAAACATTTTATATCCTACAACATGGCGTAAAATGAAAAGAAAAAAATACTTGTCAAAATTGAATTTAAAAGTAAATTCAAAATTCAAAAGAGTGGTTTAGCCCAACAATATGGTTTGTTGTTAGCATCCAACCTAAGACGGAGAGGGCCTAGCAGGATGGAGCTTAACATGAGAGAATGTGGTTTTGGTGGTGAAGACAGAGAGGCTAGCAGGATGGAGCTTAACATGAGAGAATGTGGTTTTGGTGGTGAGAGACGGAACTAAAGGAAGAGTTAGTATAAAGATAGATTAATGATTAGAATTGATATCATTTTAAAAGATGAGGCAAATAATTAAAAATTCAAGATTTCGTTTATTATGATAGTCAAATATTGAAATTTTGGTAACTTATTTAAAAATTTATTAATTCATAATGTCCAGATAAGCCTTATCACATAGTAATCTACATGCCCAAACAGTAAAAATAGCACCATTCACGCAGCACATACAGCTAAAATCCCTACATTTTGAACATCAATCTAACCATATGAAAATAGTAACAAAATGTTAAACAGAACAACTCATAATCACTCAGAAAGTGAAATACAAGACATCCAACTTAGCCACATGAGTTGTGCTATTTGCACAATAATATACAAAAAGTAAAATAAAACACTTATAGACATGAAAATCGACTATAACTGTGTACTTGCACAAAAATGTGCATAGATTAGGAAATTTGGAGGTTTAGTACCTCTCGAATGCATGATGAAAATATGGAGACCAATGGGACAAAATTTGAATGCCTTTTCATGCATCACTAGTATTTGATTTTGACCGTCGAAAATCTTTGATCTCATGCGATCGCTCAATTGATTCGGACTGCCTCTCCTCCATCCGATCCTTTGATTCTCGACGCCTAAGTTTCATCTTTCCTTCTTTCTCTCTATCACCGCCCTCAAAAATTTGACCCACCAATCCCTCAATTGCCTCTGGCGATAAGCACGACTTTACTTGTAAAACAGAGGCATAAGTGTTCAAGAAGTCAGTATAAGCCGGCACGACAAGCTTCACAGTAGCTTCCCTAATCTGAGTTCTCAAATCCACATCAGGTATGCTATAAGAGCTTCGATGCCTTTGAGAGACCTCGTTGAAAGTGTTCATGAAAGCTTCCAATTTCCCTCGAATTAGAGTTCCATTAATGGCTTCATTGTTAAGTCTATTTGTGTCTTCCTTGTCTAGTAGTCTTACTAGGGACCCCCAAGCTTGCTTCTGATATAGGTAAGCTGATTCCTCTGCGACAACCTTGTACCTCTTCTTCATGTATTGCTCGCCCAATAACTTTCCGAGCTCAGTGTTTCTAGTTCTCATGTAGATGTACCAGCAGGTGTTCATGCCGAACACATGGGGAAGTACCTTGTCCTTGTTGTAGCTGTTAGAAAAATATTATGCAACAATACAATTATAATCAATAAAAATAGTTGAGATATTTTGTAACAATTTTAGAACATATGAAAAAATAAAAAATAGAATAACATAAAAAATAATAGAAAATAAAAAAGAGTTGCTTATGAGATCAAATGAAGTATTTTGTATTGAGTCCGGATTCTCGGCCGCCCTACCCGACAGCCCCCAAAACGACGTTGTTTTGGGGGCAAATTTTCAAAAAAAAAAAAAACGCAGAGGAAGAGAGGGAGGAAGGAGAGGACGAGGGAGGAAGGAGGAGGAAGGAGGAAGGGAATGAGGGGGCCATAACCAGTGGGGAAGGAGGAGGAGGAGGTGGAGGC